GGAATTTAGGAATTTAGGAATTTAGGAATTTAGGAATTTAGGAATTTAGGAATTTAGGAATTTAGGAATTTAGGAATTTAGGAATTTAGGAATTTAGGAATTTAGGAATTTAGGAATTTAGGAATTTAGGAATTTAGGAATTTAGGAATTTAGGAATTTAGGAATTTAGGAATTTAGGAATTTAGGAATTTAGGAATTTAGGAATTTAGGAATTTAGGAATTTAGGAATTTAGGAATTTAGGAATTTAGGAATTTAGGAATTTAGGAATTTAGGAATTTAGGAATTTAGGAATTTAGGAATTTAGGAATTTAGGAATTTAGGAATTTAGGAATTTAGGAATTTAGGAATTTAGGAATTTAGGAATTTAGGAATTTAGGAATTTAGGAATTTAGGAATTTAGGAATTTAGGAATTTAGGAATTTAGGAATTTAGGAATTTAGGAATTTAGGAATTTAGGAATTTAGGAATTTAGGAATTTAGGAATTTAGGAATTTAGGAATTTAGGAATTTGGAAATTTTGGAATTTGGAAGTTTGGAAATTTAAAAATTTGAAAATTTGAAAATTTGGAAATTCGAAAATTTGAAAATCTGGAAATTTGAAAATTTAGAAATTACGAAATCTAAATATTAATACATTAAAACCACATACATAAAAAAAATAACTATTTTCAAAAGTATCAGAAATTTCGCAAGCGTCCTATCAAAGCGTCATCGATCACGTGTTAATCGTGCGATTCGATGTTTCAAAAATCGACAAACAATTAGTCGATCAGAACGTACTGATACGACTAAACCGTTCGCGTTGTATGACTCGTGATATACTTCATTTGTTACTTGCCAAGTCATTGCCTCTCGCGAGATCTACACGTGGCCATTTTACGCACATTCACATGTAGTCATACGTAAGCTGTGTTTTTGAATTATAACGTCACTACAATGCGTCACACATAAATCCTCGTTAATACAGGAGCTAATTGACAGCAATTATATGTTTGTACAACAAATAGTTTATATAACATATGAAAATTGATTAGTTTACAACTGCATCATTTTGTGACCTTGAACATGAAACAGTGCGTTTCAACTCCTACATACCTGCTTCCTTCTTAGTATTAACTATTTCCTGGTATTAAGCATAGGACTATAAGAAGATTTTGTACCGGGCATAAATTTAGTTTGCAAATATAATGTTGTTTCTGTCAATAGAGGAAGTCACAAATTTTTTCAAATAACGTAACATGTAAGGTATCTTGCAGATTGTAAATATCTATTTGGAATAATTACATGTGTATGTAATTATCTGTAATGACTGACATTGAACAGTCACAACATTATGAAACTAAAGTTGTAATATCCAAGGTTTCTATGTCCTAGACATAAAATTTTGAGAATTTATTTTCAAAGTCATAGAGTCTCTTTTGAGATTCTGAAGGCAATAATTACAAGGTTTTAAAATTCGAGGTTTCCAAGCTTCAAACCCAAAATTACAAAATTCTAAGATTGGGAATTAAAAAATTATAAATTTACAATTTCCAAATCCACAATTTTTTAATTCCCAGATTGGTAATTCAAAAATTCCCAAATTCCAAAATTTCCAAATTACGAAATTTCCAAATTCCAAAACTTCCAAATTCCAAAATTTCCAAATTCCAAAATTTCCAAATTCCAAAATTTCCAAATTCCAAAATTTCCAAATTCCAAAATTTCCAAATTCCAAAATTTCCAAATTCCAAAATTTCCAAATTCCAAAATTTCCAAATTCCAAAATTTCCAAATTCCAAAATTTCCAAATTCCAAAATTTCCAAATTCCAAAATTTCCAAATTCCAAAATTTCCAAATTCCAAAATTTCCAAATTCCAAAATTTCCAAATTCCAAAATTTCCAAATTCCAAAATTTCCAAATTCCAAAATTTCCAAATTCCAAAATTTCCAAATTCCAAAATTTCCAAATTCCAAAATTTCCAAATTCCAAAATTTCCAAATTCCAAAATTTCCAAATTCCAAAATTTCCAAATTCCAAAATTTCAAATTCCAAAATTTCAAAAATTCCAAAATTTCAAAATTCTAAAATTCCAAAATTTCAAATGTCGAAAATCCCCAGATTTCCAAAATTTCAAAATTCTAAAATCCCCAGATTTCCAAAATTTCAAAATTCTAAAATCCCCAGATTTCAAAATTCATAAATTCTAGAATCCCTAAATTTCAAAATTTAGAACCATGAATTCGTATATTAAACCTAACCTAACCGTATAGTAAACAAAATAAAAAAGTGTTCCAAGGACGATAAAAGCGCTGGATTTTTAATTCATAGCCTCAGGTATATTCGACTCACGATTAATATCTCCGTATTCGTTCAGGTGTTTGTTTTTCGAGTCCGTGCATCTTACTGAGGCTGCGAAACAGTCCAAAGCGTCAACGCCAATCAGTCGGTGTTGAACTGTTGGCGCGATCGGTACTTAGAAGTATCGTTTTCGTTTTTCTTCCAATTTTTGCCGGGAAAGCTTCGTTCCCGACTTTTCTGTGGTTCAAGCTTTGCGTTCAAAATTTTCCGTCACCATGTCGAGTAAGTTGTACGATCACTGCCGATAGAAGCATTTATTGTAATCATTTATTTTGTTATCGGTGCTTATATTTTTCGATGATCGTTCACGTGTGATCTATGAAATTCAAGACCCGATAGATCGAGCCTGATTGCGTTTGTTTGCTCTTCGGACGTGTTACTTAATTTCTATTTAATTTCACTTTGAAATGGAAAAATTTGAAGATTTGTAGCGGAGAAGCATATTTTTGTTTCCGTCGATGGATTTATGTTTGGTTGTTGAGTTCGAATCATTTTAAAATTAGGTCTTGAATTATGGTGGAACTTTCATTTAATTTTGTGCTTCTAGAAGCTTTATTATGTATTCATTTCAATGAAGTGTAAATTAATTTCAGTTTTTTTTTTAAAATGTGTTCGTGATTTTTTTGGTGTACTTGTTTTGTGTTTATCGTTCTTTTTTTTTTGTAAATATATGTTTAGTGAATAGTATTTATTATACAACAATCATATATTTTTTTATTGTTTAATCTTTAATGATACAATGTTTCAAATTTGAGAAAGTACATTTTTTTATTTGTTCTAAAAATCCGTGCAAGATTAAAATAGGGAAACAAAGGAATACTTTTTATAATTTCGTCAATAATTGAATGTGACAAATTTATATTTTACACAATCAACAATCTTATGGTGTACCTACAGTGTAACGCAACGAAGGTTTAATAAATTCTTTCAGTCGAATGATCTCTACTTTTCTTCGCGTTTCGTCTTTTTTTACATAACCCACAAAAAAAGTGTCGTACCATTATGCGATTCTTTTTGTAGTGTTACGTAAGATTTAGTGAGAATTTTATTCGAATACGAAGTATATGTCTTTTACGCAAAATCACTGTAACTTTTTTTTCTTAAATCCACTAAATATGTCAATTTGTTAATTTAAACAGTTTTTGGTTTTTAGGTTATCAAGTTTAGAGAGTTTCTACATTTGTACATTTCTAAATTGTTAAATTCTTAAATAACTTGTATAATTGAATATTTGAATGGTTTAATAGTTGAATAATTGAATGCTTCGATAACTAAATGCATGAATAGTTGAATATTTGAATATTTGAATATTTGAATACTTGACTACTTGATTACTTGTATAATTGAATACTTGAATACCTACATTCCTAACTTTCTAATATTTTTAAATTTCTAAATTCCAGAACTCCTAAATTCCATCATTCCTAAGTTCCATCATTCCTAAGTTCCATCATTCGTAAATTCCATCATTCCTAAGTTCCATCATTCCTAAATTCCATCATTCCTAAGTTCCATCATTCCTAAGTTCCATCATTCCTAAGTTCCATCATTCCTAAGTTCCATCATTCCTAAGTTCCATCATTCCTAAGTTCCATCATTCCTAAGTTCCATCATTCCTAAGTTCCATCATTCCTAAGTTCCATCATTCCTAAATTCCATCATTCCTAAGTTCCATCATTCCTAAGTTGCATCATTCCTAAATTACATCATTCCTAAATTCCATCATTCCTAAGTTCCATCATTCCTAAGTTCCATCATTCCCAAATTCCATAATTCCGAAATTCCAAATTCCCAAATTTCCAAATTCCCAAATTCCCAAATTCCCAAATTCCCAAATTCCCAAATTCCCAAATTTCCAAATCCCTAAATTCCCAAATCCCTAAATTCCCAAATCCCTAAACTCCTAAATCCCTAAATTCCCAAATCCCTAAACCCCTAAACCCCTAAATCCCTAAATCCCTAAATCCCTAAATCCCTAAATCCCTCCTTCCAAAACCCCAACCTTCCAAATTTCTAAATTCGAAAGTTAAAGAGCGAAGCCCTTTAAGCCGGCGCTAACTACGCCATTGCACAGGACATTACATAATTTGTAATACATTCATACTACGCGATTACGCCAGTTCGAAAAAATCCATGCCTAGTAGAAAATCAACAGGTGCCTCGAAAGTTTTCACGACCTGCTACGGCGATCATTTTTCAATGGATCCACATTAGCATAAATAATAGAAATAGTCGGTTCAAAGTCATCTCAAATAACACTACCAAATCTATGACATTCAAACATCTGATAACTTGAAATTCCAGTTCCATTTGCTTCTGAATCATTCATGTACGAGATGCTGTAAAAACAATTTTTTAAGGAATTTGTACTATGCTTGCATTTGCATAGTGATTGAGTAAAGATATTAAAATGTCGTGACGTTCGAAAAGTAATAAAAAAACGTTTGGAAATGATGTAGATAAACATCTCTGAGATCTTATTTCAATTGGAGCTTTAAATTTATTATTTGAACTTTCCTCTTTATTATTTTTCCTAATTTTCTTTATTGCAAGTGCAGCTTGCAAGTTTAATTTTATTAAAGTTAAGAAAAAATTTTAATTTCATATAATTTCACTTTTATAATGAAAGTATAAATTTTTTAAATTATTATTAGTCAAAATATAAAAATTATTTGTGTAATTTATTTACTTATGAATTTTTCAAAATTCGATGAAGTTTCATAAACTCCAACAACTCTATAACAAAATGGCTACTAAATTGCAAGTCAGCAGTAATCGATAATATTAATATCAAACACTTCAGGTAAAATATATTTATCGATAGCTACAAATTATTTGAAACAAATAAATGTTTTTCAGAATTTAATTAACGTTATGAATTTCTGTAAACGTATGTCAGGTATCATATGTGTACATATGCGATCACTGTATGCTACCATGTGTTATCAGTTGATACACTTAAAGAATTGATAGCATATTATGATTAATACAAAGAAATCAAAACTTGATAAAAAGTGTCTGTTTTTAGAATTCGAAGTTTTTTCAGTCGATATGATTTACACGTTTTTATAAATATGTCAAGAGAACATTCGATCATTTTTATTGGTTAAATTGGGGATTTAGAAATTTGGGATTGAGATTTTGGTGATTTGAGAATTTTTAATTTTGAGAATGTAGGAAGTTTTGAAATGTGATAATTTGGAAAATAGGAAATTAGGGGATGGGGAAATTAGGGGACGGGGAAATTAGGAGATCGGGAATTTAGGTGATTGGGAAATTAGGAGATCGGGGAATTAGTAGATGGGGAAATTAGGAGATCGGGCAATTAGGAAATTGGGAAATTAGGAGATTGGGAAATTAATAGATCAGGAAATTAGGAGATCGGGAAATTAGAGAATGGGAATTTAGGTGATTGGGAAATTAAGAGATGGGGAAATTAGGAGATCGGGGAATTAGGAGATCGGGCAATTAGGAAATTGGGAAATTAGGAGAATGGGAATTTAGGAAAATGGGAAATTAGGAGATCGGGAAATTAGAGAATGGGAATTTAGGTGATTGGGAATTTAGGTGATTGGGAAATTAGGAGATGGGGAAATTAGGAGATCGGGGAATTAGGAGATTGGGAAATTAGGAGAATGGGAATTTAGGAAAATGGGAAATTAGGAGATCGGGAAATTAGAGAATGGGAATTTAGGTGATTGAGAAATTAGGAGATCGGACAATTAGGAAATTGGGAAATTAGGAGATCGGGAAATTAGGAAATTGGGAAATTAGGAAAGTGGGAATTAGAGAATTAGGGAACTAGGAAATTAGGAAATTAGGAAATTAGGAAATTTATATAATAGAAATACAGCAAATGGTAATTAGGAAATTAGAGCGTTAGCACACTTAGAAATACAGGAATTTAGTAATTAAGAAATTACAATATTTACGCATTCAGAAATATAACAATTTCATAATTAAGGAATTACACAATTAGCCCACTAAAAAATTTAGCAACTTGCTACTTACAAAATTAGAGAATAAAATTTATAAAAATACCAACTTGATAATTTCCCAATTCAGAAAATTTGCACCTACCAAATTATGATTTGATAATTTCAAATTTTTTGTCAAATTGCATAAATTTATTAATAACGGCTTCCCACAAAATTTAATAAAATATTGCAGCAATAAATCCCTGTTTCAGAAACGTCTACGGAGGAGAGCCTGAACTTCATCAGGCAATCATTAAAATCGGAGGAAATGGATCACCTGGAGGGAACGCATTTCGAAGAATCGTGGCCCCACGTATTCGTCACACTCGGAGCATCGGTGATTGCTTTCTCCTTTCATTTACTTACGAACCGTAATCACTCTCGCTGTTACGGTCAGAATGTTAATCGTTTGCACTAAATACAGGGTGATTTGGCGAAGAAGAAGATCTACCCGACGCTATGGTGGCTGTTCAGGGACAATCTTTTACCAAAAACCACTACTTTCTTCGGTTACGCACGAACTAATATGACGGTAAAGCAACTGCGAGAAAAGTGTCACCAATATATGAACGTAAAGCCAGATCAGGAAGAGAGGTACGAGGAGTTCTGGAGGTTAAATCATTACGTGTCTGGCATGTACGACTCGCAAAAAGGGTTCGAAGTGCTGAACGAGGAGCTGAAGAAACACGAGAAAGGATACAAGAACACTAACAGACTGTTTTACTTAGCCTTACCGCCGAGTGTCTTTGAAAACGTTACTGTACACATCAGAAATGTCTGTATGGGTGAAAGGTACGCGAAGAAACTTGTGGTAAAATTAATCGATACAGTAAATAAAAATAAATTATAACAGCACATCAGTTGGAAGCCATTTTGTAATTAAATCTTGACAAAAAATAAGCACACTGATAGATTTGAGCAATATCTAAAAAAATAGTACTTCAAATTTAAAAACCTCTTATGTAATATAATAAATAAATATGTCTATACTACAAAGTCAAATTATATTAATTACTCTTATGTATTTACAGTGGCTGGACCAGAGTGATTATAGAGAAGCCATTCGGTCGAGATGCGATCACATCACAGCAGTTATCCGATCATTTAGCCTCGCTGTTCACCGAAGAACAGATATACCGTATTGATCACTACCTGGGAAAGGAGATGGTTCAAAATTTGATGACTCTTCGGTTCGGTAATCGAATATTCAATCCCACATGGAACAGGGAGAATGTAGCGTCCGTGCAGATTACGTTCAAAGAACCATTCGGGACGCAGGGAAGAGGTGGATACTTCGACGAATTCGGAATTATCAGAGACGTGATGCAGAATCATTTGTTGCAAATTTTATCGTTGGTCGCTATGGAGAAACCGGCGTCTTGCCATCCGGATGATATTCGAGACGAGAAGGTGAAGGTTTTGAAATGTATGAAACCTTTGGAACTGGAGAATGTTGTACTGGGGCAATATGTTGGAAATCCTGAAGCTAGTGATCCTGAAGCACGTCTGGGTTATTTGGATGATCCCACTGTGCCAGCTGGCTCTAATACTCCTACGTATGCTATGGCTGTGTTGAAGATTAATAACGAACGATGGGATGGTGTTCCTTTTATTCTTAGATGTGGAAAAGGTAAATGAGAGCGCAGGTTCTCAGTGCTATAAATATAATGAAGAAGATAATATTCAGAATATAATTAAATTGTAATTTAAAACAGTGATGGATGTCCTCAATTTTTTAATTTAAGTTCTTCAATTTCTCAAATTTCTAAAGATCCACCCATCACTGTTTTAGAATGTATTTAAATTTTAGAATACATTTTCATTTTAATGTAACGAGTATTATTATTCATTAGCGTTGAATGAACGTAAGGCAGAAGTTAGAATACAATATCAGGATGTACCGGGCGACATATTCGATGGGAAAGCAAAGAGAAATGAATTGGTAATTAGAGTACAGCCCGGTGAAGCATTATACATTAAAATGATGACGAAATCGCCTGGTATTACGTTTGATATGGAGGAAACGGAACTAGATCTTACATATGGTCATAGATACAAGGTATGTGAAGTTCAAGAACGTGCGATTTGCCTTCGTTTAATTGAACGCGCAAGTTCACTGATTAATGTTAATCGTACGCTTAAAAAAGATAGTTGTAGGAGGTGGTGATAAACTAGCGTAATTAGACAATAGGTGGTTTCATTTAATGTAATGGGAATGACCTTCGGATCTTTAAAGACTTCCATTTTTAGTACTATTGCACGCACGATGTATCATTCAAGAGCATTCAATTTTGCTTCTTAAACGTTAGGAATTGAGTTACTATATAAAACTATTGGTGTAGCATATAATAATGAATAACAATTAGAAATTTATATTATTACATTTAATGGTACATTGCAGGATCTTAAACTTCCCGACGCATACGAACGTTTAATCTTGGATGTATTTTGCGGCTCGCAAATGCATTTTGTGCGAAGTGACGAACTTTCTGAAGCTTGGAGAATCTTTACGCCTTTACTACATAGAATTGAGAATGAAAAGATTCAACCTATTCCTTACACGTAAGTTATTTTATCTGATTCTTATTTTAAGTTGTTATATATCTATTTGTTGTTTCAGGTATGGTTCACGTGGACCGAAAGAAGCTGATAAAATGGCGCGGACAAACAACTTTGTATACTCTGGCTCGTACAAATGGATAAAACCGTAATCATGGCAATTCCGTAATAACTAAATGATGTGCATCGAATATACAAACCGCAAGAATCCATGTTACACTTCTTCATCTGTGATCATAGCATTCCATATTTTTTATACCGATATACAAAGAATCCTCTAAAATTTTATAGGCATATACAAGTAATTTATACGATTAATTTATTGAACAATTTAATTCTGCCACTTTTTGAAACAATTTTGAAAGTACAAAGCACGTTTTACTGGTTAAAATGTGTCAATCGAATAATATACATACAAGGACGTTTAACAGAACTCAGTGTGCATAATTATAAATACTTCTGGATAAAATGTGATTGTTGCATTTGATTACTTACATCGTCTCAGGAAATTACCGTATAAGATAATGTAAAATATTTTAAGTGTATATATTTGTACAGTGTACAGATAAATTTGTAGATAGAGCGTTGAGATATTTTGCAAACCATTTAAAAATTACAACTTATATGTAGATCATTGTTTTTATTTGCTTTTGACGGTTTAAACATGATGCCAATCACATGAAATACTTTGTACAGTAGAAGAAATAACATAAATTATGCGATATTTTGCTGGAACTATTTAAATATACGTTACAATACATTACAATAAATAAATAAGAGAAAGTTGAATTATTCAGTTTATAATTCACACAATCTACACTTTACGTTTATGTTTTTTAAATGAAATAATGTCATGATAGGATAGGCACCAAACGAGTGCTTCATTGATTCTTGCGTAATAATTTTTTTTGTACGACTTGTTCAATTATTCAGCTCTCTCACCCACTTTTATACACACACACACATGCACGCATTCATACATATATAAAGAGACCAACTACACTTAGCATACAAGTCACACGCATTTCTGCCATATTGAATAATAAACAAAAGGTACTTAATTTATAAAATTAGTAAATTTTTCCTTAAAAATGCAGTTTCGAAATAAATGAATATACATTGTACACGTTAACATTTATATGTTTGTAAATACCATTATATCACGATAAATATTATCATTGTCGTAATGAAAAAGGGTACATATAAAAATTATACAAAATACGGGAAGTTCGAGTTGGTATGCGATTCGTAGTTTTCTTGTTACATTATTAAAAATTAATTTACAGCAACTAAGACGGTTAGAGTATTAACAATATGAACGATACATTCGAATAAATTTATCTTAGTTCTTCGTAATGACACAAGAGACGATTATATATATATATTTTCTTACAACTCTATAATAGTAATAGTAAAATATTGCTAGAAGCAATAGATATTTCACAAATTAAATACACACAAACAAATGTAAAAAAGGGCGAAACATGACACAGTATCTTATAAATTATCTTTGAAAAGTCGTTAGTCTTTCCGTTGAACATTCGTTAGATTTAGGACCTTTCGCTGCTCAAATGTGTAAAAACCAAATGCAAATTTAGTTTCTGACATATCGATATGGCAATGTCTTTTGTTTCATTTTTTTTGAACACTTCACAATAGTATGTAACTTGTAAAAATGTCAAAATTTGATCCAGGTCTATGAATTGTCGAAAATATGATTTTAATGTACATATTACACTTATTAAAAAGTTCAAATTTCACACGATGAAGAATCCAGCAATTCGTCCCAGTTAATACTTCTTTGAAATACTTCTTGCTGCAACCACAGTTCGTAATGCTGCTTGAATTCATCACTTAACTCCACGTTCATACCAAGTACTGATGCAACTGACGTGTCGACAGATTCCATGTCTTTAGGAATATTAGTATATCGCAGATTATTAAATCGGTCAACGCAAGAACGCAGTACGCTTTCGTCTACTTGGAAATCCCATGGTCGTGCTTCTAAATCTAATTCGAATAAACAGAAGTTACAAATTTGACGTTATGTAAATAAGTACATACGTCTAATAAAATATTACCATTGCCATAAGCCCAATCATCGTTCAATCGATGTCTCACTTTCGCATAAATTGCACTAATTGTTTTCATATTAGTTTTCCGCCATTGTCGTCCTAAATATCTCGTTTGCATTTTTAATAACTTTAAAACATATAATTGCATCATTGCATGCCGAACTTTTAAAGTACGTTTTAATATTGCTGCGGACTTAAAAACGACTAGCATCTGTAAAAATAAATATTATCAATATTTTTTAACGGATAAGCAAAAAATTTGTATGATCAAATGTATGGCATACCATAATCCTACTATGTTTCCATTTTGTCAGTTTGTTAAGAATACGTAATAAATTAATGCAGGAAAAAACGTTTCTCCATGAATACGTTTGGCTATTCCCAATTTCAAGATTTTCTATAGTCAGCTCTGGCTGATCACCAATAACACACATGGGAAAATCTAATATAGGAATACTAAAAATAAAAGAATATGTTTCACTAAACTTATATGATAAATTATCATTGATATTTCTATTCCAAATAAAACTTACACATTTTTAGCTTCAATGTAAGCTAGGATATTCTGATTCAAGAACTTCAACACAAGCGGTATGCAATTAGCAAATACTAAATGCTGTGACATGAATTCAAATTGATATATATGATTCAGCTTAAAATGTTTCAATAAAAGAAGTAGAATTGCAGAAACAGCCTTAGCAATTATTTCTTTATGTCTATTTACATCAATACCAAGTTTCATTGATTGCAATACTGTCATGCTGAACAAAAAATAAATATTTTATATATTAACATATATATTGAGGGAATACTTAAAATGTAGAGTGTAGTTATTTTAATTCGCGTACTTACGGCATTTGTCCTGGCAGAACATCAGCCATGATATTAGTAGTATCTGTTTTAGCCTTACTAGTAGGTGCAGTTGCTAATAAAATTTTTAATAATGCAATCATGTACTGTGGAACAAACGGCAATATAGCATGATAAACAATTTCTGTCGGTGTCTGACGAATTGGAAACCTTGGAGTAGTTACAGGGTTTCTAAGCATTTGGTCTTCTTTTTGTATTTGAACTTCGGCTAAAGATGTGTACATATGCTAAAAATATTCATTAAATTGGTACAAAACAGTATTTAAATAGTAACTTTCAAAATACAAGACACAAATATTTAACTTACTTTTTTAAGCGTGTTAACACCCTCGTGAATTGGTTGAGGTAATCCTACTAAACTTTCTCTGTCTCCTTCTAAATTGTAACCAACAAACTTTAATCTTATTACTTCAAGAAAAGTGTCTACATCCTTTTGTCTTACTTTTGGCGTCCATGGTAAACCTGCAGTAGTATATTGTTTTAAATCATCAATATTCATCATAATAAATGTAATAAAGACATTACCTTTTCCTTTGCTAAGCTGTGGAGTACTAAACCTTGTATGTAACTGATTATTTTGTTCCTCACAGTAAGTTTGATTCCAATCAGACTGATTCATAAGTACATTCATTTCTCCTTCACCTTCATTGTTTCCACTATTATTTCCTAGTTCTCCACCTTCGTATTCCATTCCCAAACCTGGTTCATCCAATGAACTCTGTTTTGTTAGATACTAAAAATCGAAATTATGAAATAATAAATTTTGTTCAATTCCAAATAAAATTAAATAAAATATCAACATAAAATAATAACATACTCGTCGAAATGATCGAGTACTTTTTTTCTGATTTTGCGTTTCTATTAGATCTGTAGCACTGATAGGAGGAGAGCTAGCTCTCATGGTCTTAGCAACTTCTAAAGTATCTTCTTGTTGTGTATCAAGACCAGCTTCTTCACGATACTGTTTCTTTAATTCTCTCAGTGTATCGATACCACCCAGAGAGACCAAGATTATCTTCCACAAGAGTAAAAGAACCTTTTTCATAGGAAAATGTGGAGCTAATCCACTGCAAAAGTATGTTACCATACCAAGAAGTTTAACTATGAGCAATTCATCATGATACGGATTTATTAAATCCGCTTTAAAAGTTTCAACATGATCTTTATAAATACTGTGTTCTAAATCTTTCATCTCTTCTCTCATTACTTCTGTTATAATATATAAAACAGACAGAATTACCCTTAAATCGATAGAGTCATCAAGGCTAACAGATATTTTCCTCATTGGTGAGGAAGCTCTTTTACTATTCCTATAAAACAGAAAAACACATAAGAAAACAAATATTATAGCAAAATCTTATTTGAATGTAAAGTATAAACATACGCGATCTCAATATTGAGAAGTTCAACAAATGCTGGGAAAACTCCAGCTTCATACAATAACATTACATTGATCCTAGTCCAGTCTTGTTGCTCTTTATCGGACTGCACTTCGGCCCAACAACCCTGAGCCAAATATAAGATACACCTTGCCGCTTTCATTCTCAGTTGCTTATTAGAAACTTCTAATTGGTCTAGTAATTTGTAAATTACAGATTTCTGTTGAGCTTCTGTCAGATTTTGCCACCAGGGTCGTAGCTTATAAGATTCCATTTGTTCTTCGAACGCCTAAGAATAGACATGATCAAATCTTGTTAGTCTCTCGCAAAGTACAATACCAATGCCTATACTCACTGTAAGATTAACATGTAATTCAGATTGTTCTGTGTAGCTGTATAATTCAGCAATTTCATTGGCATGCGTATCCGCATCATCATAAACAAAGTCCAAATCTGTGGTTTTAGGTGTTTCCTAAACATAAAAATACAAAGGCATGCAGATGTTGCTATTGCAGTGTTAAATAAGATACAAGAAACAATCATAAATATTATATGTACCATTTTATGTATATTAATTTCAACGATTATTATTGAGAAAAGGATAAGAGACGTTATTCACGTATCATGTGATTTGATAAACAGATTGTGACAATCCAGGCATTAAACAGTATATGCTTCTGTCAAAAAGGTTAGAAACGACTTGATCCACGACGGTTATCGTTACTTATTTCCGGCAGGTTTTTTTTCGCACTTAGTTGACAAAGCATTTACTCACTTCGGTGCTCATAACTTGTTGATGTAGAACTACTTGGGGAAGATCACGCTTCCCATTCCCATTCGCATCCATCGCTACGTCACGCATTTTCTAATAGTGATTGAAGATGCAGTATATAATGCATCTCACAATCAGACTATAGACCTAGGAATATAGGGATGCAGTATAAGCTGGGATTATAGACGAGGAAAGAGAAATTGAAACGAGACGGAGGGCACTAATAGTCGATGCCCAAATTTGATTGATTGCTTTTCTGCGCATCTTCTATACCGCCAATTATAAGTTAGTAATCACCAATTAATACTAATGTTCAATAAGTGATTACATTTTACGTGCACAGATTATTTAAAATATGTATATATTGTAATTTAGAGAATCAAACATTTACAACTTTCCTAGGTATCAAATTCTTTCACTTAAAAAATTTTGAGTTCCAAAATTGATGTTATGGCAAAAGATAGACAGTCAAAACTAGACATCATTTTATTTTTTGCCTGGTTCCGCAATGGTTTCCTCCCTCAAGGGTATGCTTTATCCCTTAATTTAAGAATCGATTATTTTTCTCGATTAATCGAACAACAAAGTTTATTCTATCGATCAATCTATCGATCGACTTTTTTCATTAAAAAAGTCGATGCACTTTGCTATGTTCGATAATGTTCAAGAATCTCCGGTAGTATTCAAAATTATATTAATGAAAAGTCACAGCAACGATAATATTTATATATTTTGCAAATTATTAATATTATCGTTGGTAGCATTGAATATGAGATGATTGGTCCGCGATATCTTTTTAGAGAATTTCGCAAGAATTTTTGCAAATATTGGTAAGATGTAGCTTCCATTTTGAAAACCGAAGCTACTCGAAAAGCACGTTAAACTGCTCTTCATATACTCTTCGGACAAACGCGTCTGTTTGTGCGTCCTTTTCGGTGACATTATATTTTGATTAAACAATACTGTAAACAATTGAAAATAGCAGCAGTGTAATCACTGATAGTAGCTATATACAAAAAGATGCAAGGGACTATCATAGAAAATTTAAGCGGTAAAAAACTTTCAGTATTAGTTGTACTGCTGATTATCGCACAAATAATTTGTTTTTTAATTGGTGGACTGATTGGTGAGTGAAAAAGTATTTAAATTTTTCAAATACAATAAAATTACAATTTTAATTTTACATTTATCTTAAAGTCCTCATAGAGATTAATAAAAAGTTACATACATTTAGCTTGAGTATTAAGATTCTTAAAAGTTTGTTTATAAATTTTGTTATTTGAAAATGGAATTTTATTTAAACAAAATAGTAATTTTAGTTATTAATAACTTTAATCGTAGAAACTCAGAACTACAACTTAATATTAGAAATAAAAAGACTGTGTATTTTTTATTTAGCTCCAACTCCTGCTAGTAGTCAGAATATACTTGGTACACCTTGCGAAGATATTCGTGTAAATGGATCTGAGCCAGGAGGAAATAAATGGTTTTATCCAAGAGGAAAAGGAGCTTGCACTGCTGTTGATATGAACCGTTTTAGTTTTGATAGCCATCATCAAGCATACCAAGTTGTTTATACATTTCAGGTAAATTTTATTATAAAAGTAAAAGCTATGTGAATTCAATTATAATTTCAATATTCATTAATTTTATAGATGCCTGGTCCTCGATATAGCATGCAACTTGATTACTCCAGATGGCAACAAAATTTGATAGGTGTTCTACAAGTGGATATTGTTTATCATAGTCAAATAGAAATTGGTAATTTATCAACACATATGCAATGTAATATTTTATGATTATGAGCTAATCTTTTGTATTAATCTACATTCCTACAGCTCCTAAGACAAAAATCACATTAGATGCAAGACTCGCTTACAGAAACAAAGGTGATCCAGATGAGGCTTGGAAACCTTATGCTGCCTCTGTGGTAGAAAGAATTTTGGACTGTAGTATTGATGATGTAAATATACAAATTATTATAGTCATATTTAATCAATATATGTTCTTTTGGCATTTATGTCTAACTATTTTATAGGCGATGGAACAATATAATTACAATTGCAAGGTGGTCCCATTATTTGAACTTGGCTCTTTGTTCCATGATTACTATCTTTTAAATATTCGTCTTCCTGCTGATACAGATAAAAATATCAATCAGGGTTTGGGACACATAACTGATTTATGGCTTACAGTAAATATATGTTGCATTCAAAATATAATACTTATATGTAGAATTAAAAATTAAATGTGCTTTTTATATACTTTAGGCTATCAATCAAAATGGCGGATTTACAAAGGTATGGGTTAGTTTGAAAACCGTTTACTTTCCCATTGTTATATGCGTTCTTGCTTGGTATTGGAGAAGAGTACATATGCTTTCAAGATCCCCAGCTCTTTTGGAATATTTACTTTTGGCATTAGGCATAGCTCTAACATTTTTAAACAGTAAGTCATATATTATTCACTTTTGTTACACAATTTATTCTTTCTGTTTAAACATAAATTTTTATAGCTCCTTTGGAATATTTGACTCTTGCTTATGACATGCCATTTATGCTTTTATTGGGAGATATTAAACAAGGAGTGTTCTATGCAATTCTTTTATCTTTTTGGCTTGTTTTTGCTGGAGAACATCTTATGGTAAGAATGTGAAGTTAGTGTATAAAAATAATATGATTTTAAAACACTAATGATATAAATCTTTTTACATGTGACTTTGTCTCAACAGATACAGGTGAGTTGATTCTTTCATAAATTTTTTAATAATCGTGTTTCTTTACATGATTTACATAATTACTTATTTTTTAGGAAGGTGAACAAAGAAATTCGTTAAAATGTTACTGGCGTCATCTGTCTGCAGTAGGAATTGGTTGCCTCTCATTATTTGTATTTGATATGTGTGAACGTGGTGTACAATTAAGAAATCCATTCTACTCAATTTGGGTTACAGATCTTGGGACTAAATTTGCTGTATCCTTTCAAATCCTTTCAATTGTTTAAATGTAATTTTATCTTTATTCGCAACATATTATGTTCCTTAATTTAAAAAAAATACAGTTATCATTCATCATTTTAGCCGGTATATCTGCTGGCGTGTATTTAATATTTTTATCTTACATGATATGGAATGTATTCATGAATATTAGCGCAAAAAGAGCTGCATTACCTAGCATGAGTTCTGCACGACGTTTACATTATGAAGGAGTAATATACCGATTTAAATTTCTGATGATTACTACGCTGTTATGCGCATCTTTAACCGTTATTGGATTTATGCTTGGCCAGGTATTTAACTTAAACTTACATATCAAATATCAGAAAAGTAAAGAAATTAATAATATGAAACATTATCATAAAAAATTTTCAGGTTGCAGAAGGACAGTGGAAATGGGACGAAGACTTACATTTGGAAATGACATCTGCATTTTTCACCGGAGTCTATGGAATGTGGAATATTTATATCATAGCACTATTGTGCTTGTATGCACCATCACATAAACAATGGCCCATCGAACCATCCGGTAATTACATTAATCTTCCATTCTTTTTTATTTATTGTAAGTTTTTATTTGTCTTTAGTACAGTTTTGTTTTCTTATATCGTTCGTTTAATCTCAATTTAATCTTTTCCAGAAAATAGTATTAGCGAAGAAATTGAATTTTCGCGTTTATCTACCGATCCAAATGAGATGTTGTCTTTGACAGCGTTTGCACGAAAAGCGGCGGTAGAGTAAATAGTATACATATTTTATAAAAGAACAAAAGCATGGCAATCGACCAATCAACAATTTTGTACTTAATTATAGCATGTAAATGCTATGAATATAAATTAATTAAGGTTTTTCAATAGTCATAGAGAATGCAAGGACTGATGATATACTGGAAAGCAATCTCTTAATACCAAAATTAATTATTTATTAAAAATAATATTTTTTAAGCTTTACCATTTTTATAATGCAACTTAGTATCTAGCAATTTTTTACGATGATATTTAAGTACTTAATATTTTATAAATGAAGCGAATGAGAAAAGTTATTTTATACAGGATGTTTTTCATTACGTTCATTTTCGTACATAATTGCGTTAGGGTAACGTGTAGCCGGAGTCATTTCATAAAACATTCCATTTAAAATCTAAATATCATAATTTTTGAATAACTCTTTTCTATATGTCGCAAACTACCTTTGCCGGAAATTGAAAAAGAATCTCATTGCCATGCTTACAGTAATAATCTTCCAACGAATTCAACAATCTTGCGACACTTATTTTCTTAAACGATATTTAATCTATTCCGTCTTTTTATAATACATATCAATATTGGGCATTTATCCGTAATTAATGTTCATAAATGTGCATTTAATTGTAGTTAAATAATACTGAACATGTGCATCCGATATTTTTCATTCTTATATTTGACAGTATTATGTTCCTCAGATACGTTTTGTGTATTACATATATTTAATGCAAATGTTTAACAAACTTCAGTGCATTAATTCTTACAGACTAAGATGTGCATGCAACAAAGTAGAAGCGAAGCAGAAAGATGTAATAAATTTGTAACATTTGAATAGAACCAATCTAGTGCACATTAGCTACTTATAAATAGTACTTATATTTGCAGCAATAGGAATTAGTATTTTCTACTTGTAATGTATCTAACGAGATCTTATTAATGAATGGTAATTTCGAAACAAACTTTGTATTATATTATTAGTTATAATATTTTCTTAATAACTGAATGTGACGTAAAAATAAAATGTAATGTATTAGGGCTATAAGAAGAAAGAAAGAAGAAATTTTTATGCATGTTTACATTATTGAATTTTAGTATTATATGTAATAGGACATTTTTTGATGTATTATTCGAAATTTTATATTCGTAATTTTTATATATTTTTTAAGTAAACCAATTTGTTAGAATAATTTTGTTAAATTGTTAAATATTATGTAACGCTATATGTTATATATATATGACAATTTTACATATGGAAACATAGACTTTTATGTGTCATTATAGTTATGTCTTTTGTTTTCACGTTATTAAACGTCCGGGTAAATCACGAACTATTAAACATCCGATTTATTGTGCAATTCCATTTCTTTTAAACCATTAGTGGAATTTATTTTTTCTCTCGGAGTAATTATTGTGGAATAACATCATTCCTTGTAACTGTACCATTGAAAACTTGTATAACTAACCCTACAATATGTGTAGAAGGGGTTAATTCCAAATGTCATGTTGGTTAAAATTGAACAGATACTGGATTTCACATTGTTGTTTCAAAAAGGTATTTATATATTTTTTTATAATACTCTCATACATTATTTACAGCAATTATATAGGTATTATGAATGTTATTATTTATGTAATTTAAATTTAAATTTCATTACGTCATCAACTCGTACTATTTTACAGTGTTACCAAACTAGTGATTTTTATAAATATGTATAGGTTTTCAATAAGAATGATATTATGGAACTTTATTTCTAATCTCACCAATAATTGTTTTTTGCCGTTTATTTTTGTCTTATAAATTAAAAATATACAATGCAGCATGTTTGTAATATTTCGGGTAACTATGTGCCATATAATAAAGGAAATTCGTACATACAGCGTTAAAGAAGAGCCGGTATGAGGCGATTCAAAACATTGCCCAGAACTCAGGCCCCCGCTTTAAAACACCCGCGACTCATGAAAAATTCGTCGTAATTTTTTGGAGACGTCATTTACGTGCGATATTGCATGAATAAAAGTACACTTAGGTGCAATGTAGGCTTCCTTTGGATCAAAATTAGTGTAGAAAAGTACCCCACCACTTACTTCGATTTTCGGAAATCAAACATGTGAATTTAATAATTTTTTAATTCTCAGACTTCCATAATTCAAAAGTATCGAGTACTTACATTTACGAATTCTCAAATTTCCAAATTTTTCAAATTCCAAATTCGAATATTTTTTAAATTTGTTGAACTTTCCAAATTTCGCAATTTTCGAATTGAAGAGTATAGGAATTCAAAATTTCTAACCGAAAATTCACCACTCAGCAACTGTAGAGTGGTGGGGGATCTTTTCCCCTACAGAGCCATTTTCCCTATGGAAGTCTACCATGCCCGTCGGTGTACACGCACCACAAACGCAACTCAAAAAGACACGAAAATAAAAAAAAGAAAAAACGTAACGATGTTTGGCCGTATCGTCTACCATAATTCTAGTGACATTATCGAAACGAAGGAATCAGTGGTGATTCGCGACGAGCAGCAGGGATTTTGTACATACGGTGCGCGCGCATCCAGTGGCACGACGTAAGACAGAGGTAGCAGCGAGCAAGAGAGCAGTACAGAAACGGAATCAGATGTGGTGAAGTCTGTGAGTTGACAGTGGGGTGCACCTCGAACAGGCGTTCCATAGTGGTGGAGGCGGAGGAGGTTTTAGGGGAAAGAATTGTTTTCTGTGTGCGCGAGAAACGTGTCGACGGTAAAAGTCCAACGGAACGGATACATCGTCGGTGATGGTGAAATGATCCTCTAGCCCGAGGATTTCGTCTCGGTCCGCTCGGACAAAGAGGAGAACCCTTTCGATATCGCCGTTCTTCGAGGGATCCTACGCTCGTTCATCCGTAGGAAACATCGTTAAACGCTGACGTCGCAAAATTCGTCCGGGTGTCGTTTTCTTTCGCGGTCGAGGCGTCGAACATCTAGCGACCATCACGCGCGCGTGTCTTTGTTTTTTTCGTTTCGTGATACCAACTTGCTCGTCCACGGGAAAAAACAGTGTGTTATATCACGGTTGGTGAAAGACTAACTTCTGTTGTGCGGCTAATAACTTTGTAGCAGTGCAGAGGCCCTTCCTGAACGACGATCGAGCTCAGCTGATTCAAGGACTTGCTGCGAAGGGCTCTGCTGCGTTTTAATAGATAAATATGTCGTCCCCCAGCGCTGGAAAACGACGTATGGACACGGACGTTCTCAAATTGTATCCTTGAAATTCACTTTTATTTCTCCTACTTGCTATTTGTATCTCCGTCTTCTTTTTTTTTTTCTTCCTCTTCTCCCCTTTCCCCCGTGCCTCCTTCTCCCGTGACCCCCCACTCGGTCTCCTTACCCCCACCCCTTTATATCTTGTTCTCGTTCTTTCTTTCTCTTTCGCTCTATCGCACGTGCTTGCGATTCGAGAGAGGCGTACGCATGGTTTGCAAGTGCAAGACCTACGCAGTATATGCATGTGCGTGTTAACACCGTGGATATCGGTTATTTATCAGGTACGATTGGTTTATAGGTCGACGAGAAACGACACACGGTGCAATGTCAATGATTATTTCACGGTGGCCAGGAATGTTTAACTGCTTGTTTCGTCGATGACGGGACACAGCTGTTTTTAACCAGCTGACTCGACGTTATTGCGCCCGTGTGCGCGCAGCTTTATCTCGTGAGCTCGACACATAGCGAACGCTGATTTTTAGAGGTTAGCTATTATGTTACAATACACTTTCTTGTTTCGTCCAATTACGTGTCGAGACATTTTATTTCTTGATAAGTATTTCGCCTCAGGTTAACAGTTACGAACGTGTTTTAGTGATAATCATTTGTGCGTTCGTGGCGAGCGTAAATATTTAAATTTCGCGCGTCAAAGAACAGCGTGTACAGTGGAGGGCATTGTAGATTTCCCTAGGGGAAACTACGGTGTAGGGAAAAGAGGTCTTTGGTATTTGGTTGGTTAGATTTCAGATTTTTAAATTTCGAAATTTAGAAGTTTGATGAATATGGAGTGAATTTAAAGTTGTAAATACACAAACAAAAGACGGCACCAATACCAAGTTAAATTCGATGGAATTTTTTACGAAACGTCATCTTCGATAAATCACGCGACGATAGTGACTAATGACTTCTGTTCTTGTCTGTGGTAATCATTTCAGTCAGGTGTAAAGAACAAAGATATAGCTTCGCGGATAAAAAACGTGGTCAACGATCGTTAACGTCTGTTTTCCTCTAATCAGAGTTCATACAGATTTGTCGTTTTGATTCCGAGTATCACGAAAATGTTATCGTTTGTTTTTTATGCAAAATTTTGTAAATAATAAATGAGAGAATTAATTTTAATTAAATTCAAATTTGAAATTTTCTAAATTTGTAAAGTTCAAACTTGGAACTTTAATAATTTGGAAAATTAGAAAAATCTAATGCACATTAATTAAAAATCAGTAAGTACTGAGTCTTCTTATCTTTAGTTACCGTTTTCCCTAGGAAAGTCTATCGTTCTCGCCACTGTACTGACGTCCATACACGAATATGTCAGTTTTTCTAGAACGATGATAGTCTCTCTCTATACAACGTTCTTTCGTGTCTCGTAACCATCGATCAGTCTTTGTTGAAGCTTACATTAAATTTGCAAGCGCTTCGTCGGGCAAAGTGAATTGGATGCGTTCATTCGCATCGCTTCGCTCGATATAAACACGTTTACAAATTTCTCTGTGAAGAATTAGTACATAATAATATCTTTATGAATTTCGAATACATTTCCAGTTATCTCGTTTCAACCATATGCAATATTTCAATATATTAGAATATTAACAATAATACTTAAAATATCTTAAAAATTAATGGTTCTTTAAATTGAGCCTAGATTTTGCATTTTTTTATTGTACACATCACTGTACCACATTTCAGTGTATTTAATATTTTTTCTATTTCGATTTCAACAAATAGATTACGTTGATCGTACTATCTCAACGCGAGTAAACTGGGACAAGGTTTTTAAATAAATTGATACCACAAAAAATGGTATAACATTTGAAGAAAACTAGACTGATAACGTTACGGTTTAGTTCGAGATAATGGAAAAGTATGATTGCTTTTCTCTTGAAATATAAACTTCGTTAAAAATCTCTCCGTTTCGCAGCAACAATTTCTTCGACTCTATTTAACTAGAAAATGATTTTTCGCTTGTTTACGGGAACTTTTTGAAAGAAAAACAAACGGTTTGAGGGAAAAGTCGCGGTACAACTCATGGCAATGGTATCCTGAAACGAAACAGTCGAGTTTCATCGAATAAACGAATAAAAATAAGAATGATACGTTAGAAGGAATGAACGCGAGTCGACGGAAAAATTTCGTGCGATGTTTAAAATAACCCATCCAAATTTGCATCAACAGGAGAATGGCGCAGCTTTCGGATTTTATAGCGTATAACTTGTTGGCAATTCAGTTAGGTAAATATTTCCATTTTGAATAACGGTGAAAGTCGTTTCCGCGCGTTATTATAGAATATGCATTAGCGACCAATTCCTACTGGTGCCTTCGTTATTTTTCTGAGGCACACGATTCGATGGAAAATTTGCTTCTTTGCCAAGAATTTCATTCTTTCGTTCGCGATGTAGGAGAGGTGGACAGTACTTGTATTTTCAGTCTGCGTAGTTTCGTAAACTTAGGGAAAAACCGATGTTTCACGTACAACCCTCGTTTTTGTTGCTTAGACCTATATTAGTATCATCAACCATCGTTAGTAATATTTGATTACCATTTTTATTTTTCTAGTTTACTTACAATGAGTCACGAAGCTTTTAAATTCCCCAATTCTTCAATTTTTACATTTCCAAATTTTTAATTTCTCAAAATTTCTCTCTTTTGAAGATTTAAAATTCTCAAATTAAAAAAATCCCTAGATTTCAAAAATTTATAGATGCAAAAATCACTGGACCCCAAATCGCTAGGTGCTCAATTTCCCACATTCAAGGAATCACTATACAAAAAATTACTATATAAAAATCACTAGATAGAAATTCCATAGACACAAAAATCCCTAGGCCCACAAATTCCTATCTCCAGAAATCCTTAGGTCTCTAAACCCCTAAAGTCTAACTCTATAGGTCAAAAATTTCATAGATCTCAATATCCCTAGATTCCCAAATTTCTAGATCTCAAAATCTCTAGATTTCCAAATCCCCAGAACTCAAAATCACTAGATTTCCAAATCCTTAGATCTCAAAATCCCTAGATTTCCAAATCCCCAGATCTCAAAATCCCTAGATTTCCAAATCCCCAGAACTCAAAATCACTAGATTTCTAAATCCTTAGATCTCAAAATCCCTAGATTTCCAAATCCCCAGATCTCAAAATCCCTAGATTTCCAAATCCCCAGATCTAAAAATCCCTAGATTTCCAAATTCCTAGATTTCAAAATCCCTAGATCTCAAAATCACTAGATTTCCAAAGCCTTAGATCTCAAAATCCCTAGATTTCCAAACCCCTAGACTTCTAAATCCCTAGATCCCAAAATCCCCTAGTCCCCAAATCCCTAGATCTCAAAATCCATACATCCCCAAATCCCTATTTTCCCAAATCCCCATACCCCTAAATCCCTATATCTGCAAATTCCCATATCCCCAAATCCCTATATTTCCAAATCCCTAAATTTGCAAATTACAAAAGTTCAAAATTTTGCAAGAGTTATTATAGTCTTGGTAACTTGTCTTTCCACTATATCGTTTCACGACAAATTGAACAGCATAAATTTCGCGGTTATAGTCGTCGCATACATTACGTTGTTGACACAAATCGAAACGTATTAAAAAATACTGTTTAAAGTGTTATAAAACGTATCTATTAGTGTTCATCGTATGATCGCGAAGGCTCACCTTGAACGCCTACATGACACGAATGACAAGGTCTGCTTCCTCTTCTAGAGTTGCAACCACATATTTATATACACACCTTCGAATGTATTAACATTCTTTTTATTACCTATTCCAGTCTCATTTTAATTGGGAAAACAGTATGAAACGGGGACTATAATTCTTGAATAGAAAGAAGGGGTATAGTCGAGTAGAAACATTCTATCATAGTTCAAATTTGGGGCTCAACTCTTGTTTCAATCTACATACTTCATCTCTGTTTTAAATTAACAGTGTGTCTCCTTATGCTCCCTTCGAGTTAGTTTGGGCGAACCCTCTTCAAAATATGTTCCAAAAAATGTACACACGTTTATCAAGTTAGCTAGCTTCTAAAATAATAGAAAACTTAATGTAAATTATCAGTGAAAATTGCATATAACTTGGTATCAAGTCAATCGAATAAAACAGTGTAAATTGTTGCTAGATGAAAGTGTACGTCGCACGTGACTTGACCATCAAAGTTTAGAACAAACTTTGCCGAACACCCCGAATATCCGTAATTTTCATTATTCCTCTAACGGCGTGGCCAACTGAGACACACGCAGACACGGTACCGGAAGTAATTCAATTATGGATCGACGATACTCGATGGACCTATCAGAAGGTTCCTTGTCCGTCCGTCGAAATCAAGCTAATCAATTACGCGGCTAATTAACAAGGTTCTCGGTATGGACGGTTAATGGTTCACCGTAATGGCTTTGGAGGCATGCGAGCATACGTGAAAAGTGCGCAAGAACTCTATCTTCGTAATGCAGTTTTACCGGTGGAGCAGCGCGTGTTTCAATAACTGTCCACCTCCGTGGATCTTGCGCGTTCAGCCGACTCGACGAACTTTCAATTATTCTCTAAACATCGGAGATCGAAGTTAATAAACGTCCCGGGTATTTGTTCGGGATCGATTCTGTTCGTAACAAAGAAATGGGAAAACTTGATTTATAGGCGTATAGAGATCGCGTATTGAAGTGAATGGTTCGATGTGAAAGCTGTTGATTTGCTTCTCTTTTTCAGAATATGGAAATCTCTTTTGATACGATTTTTCATTTGATTCGTTGTGCTGAGAATGTGTATGGACTTAATACTGGATTCAATTTTATTAGTATTCAGGTTTCACGTGACGCACGTGGTGTGTCACTGGTTCTATAGGAGTTGTGAGGTGCGACGCACCAGGTGTGTCATTGGTTCTATTAGAGTTGTGAGGTGCGACGCACCGGGTGTGTCATTGGTTAGGTTAAATTTGTGAGGTACGACGCACCAGGTGTGTCACTGGTTCTATCGGATTTGTGAGGTGCGACGCACCAGGTGTGTC